AACTCGTGACAAATTTCAACTAGGTCTTGCAAAGTTGAAGGGGAGGCGTCCACATGTGGCGGGACACTCGCGGTTGGCACTTGAATTGGTTGCTCTGACACCCGGTCGTTGCCATCACCCATGGCTAGCAGCTAGAAATCAGAAGTGTTTGGGGAGAGCTGGTTCGAGTTCTTCTAAATTGCTATTCATTCACCAAGCACAGAAAGTGCAGAAAGTATAGCCATAACAAACAACAGACGATAAAACAGTGTCAACAATTTGCAACATAGTGAAGCACACTTTGCCATTGAACAAGAAACTGATTGCAAATTCAATTGCAGCAGCTGCAAAACTGTAAGCGACTGATTGCGCAAATCCTTTTGGAAATGCATTCAACAATCTCGCAGGCGGTGAGACAAGCGAGGTATAGGCAACATCGAACATCTTCATGGAAAAGTCCAAAGAATGACGTTGCTTTCACCTTTCATCACCCCTGCCCCTGCCCCAGGTTTGGAAAAGCACAACCCAACGTTGCACCAGAAAAATACCAGCGTCTACTCCGATTGTAATTGGAGCAGTTCGATGGTACCTGCGAGCTCAGAGCTGTCACCCTCATGAAATGCTTCACGCAGCACCTGGCACCGGAGATCACCGGAGAAAGAACAAAACTGCTCGCGCTGAACAACACGACTGTTTCTGTTAACAAGTTTTTCCATTGTCCAACTCAGTGAAGTGCACCCCAGCCATCAGCATCCCATCGAACTCCCAGCACCTTGAGTCACAGCGCTGGAAGAAAGTCCCAGCTTTAAAAAGTTGACCGACATGTCAACAGAAGAATGACCCAGTCAAACGCCAAAGGCAGAATGCGCCGTAAAATGTTTTGTCATCAAAGCTCGCTCCTACATGTGCCAACAGGAATGCCCATGTGGACACGTCGTTGGCCGGAACTGCAAGCTTGGGCTTTGCACCCCATTGCCAGAAAGCCCTCAAAATGAAATGGGAATGGGAACCGTTTATGATTGCAGCAGCAACATACACACACAAATACCCAATGACTCTATATTACTGAACTATTTGTGTATGCATAACTGATATAAGATCGTGCTCAAAGTTATCAAAGTCTCATAAACACAAACACTTGGCCATGGAACGCATCATCAAACTGTAACAGGTGTTTTGATATGGTATCTGTGAACAGCTGGTTCCCCAACGCAGCTCCGCAACAACCAAAATGGGTTGCATCTGCTCAAATCCTATGGCACAGCAAGTAAAAGGATCCGGCTCAGAACAAAGACAGGCATCTGCCAGGAGGTAGCTCCACATCGGATGTCAGCACAACTTGCGGGCGGATAGGTGCAAGCCCTGAGGCAGACCACTTCACACTGTAGGCGATCATCGAGCAATGACCTTACTGACTTACAACATAGGCCTGGCAACTGGTGCCTTTTCAGTGCCTCATGACACAATGACACTGAACTTGAAACAGTGGTGCCTTTTTGGCGCATCAGAAAATGAAAGAACAAGGCCAAGAAACTGGTCCATGCCTCTGCAGGCAAAAGACTTGCCAAGTTCACTTGGCTGGCAACATTGTCAGCGCCTGAATCCTTGCTCTTTTGGATGTGCACAGAGATGTGACTGCCTTTGTTCAACATTGGGCATGTGCAAAGCTTGTCCGCATCCAAGTTCATGTCCTGAGTTGACATGAAGCTCATAGATAAGAGAAAACGATTTGCGCAACAAAACGTTTGACCATTGCTGCGGCAGAAAAAGTGGTCCACAAATTCACAAAATTACATCAACCTGTCTCAAAACCATCTTCAAGATTCAGAGCTGGGGCAAATCTTGGAGCGATCAACTTTTGGCCTTTTCGACGCTGAGTTGGTGCCAGGAGTCTTCCTCTTCTTTGGATCCTTTCCCCCTGCGTTCCCAGTGACAGTGTCACCGTCGGTCTGACCCTGACCCTCGCCCTCGGACTGTTTCGCGGTGGCAGTCTTCAGCTCTGGAGTGGGGCCAAATTCTTCATGAATCTCATTCAGGAACTGCTGCAACTCTGTGCCTAGCTCGTGGTTCACCCATTGGCTCACCAATGTAGCAGGAACTTCTGGGAAGAGATCAGGGCGAGCCTTCATCAAGTTGAGCTTGGGCGGAGCTGGCTCTGCTTCCAACAAGTCTGCCGGGCAGTCCACAGCGCCAACATTGTGCCCTGGGATCTGGATGTTCCCTTCCATGTGACCAGATGCCAACCATTGGACCTGCATGGTCTGGGTACTACCTCAAATCAAAATATCTATGAAGCAAGATCTTCAGCAACACTTGAACAAAAGCATGACGTAGCAACCTTGAACATACCTGGGCCAGACATTTGCCTGCCTTCGTTTCATTGAACCATTCAGCGGCAATTTGATCCTGCATCATGGCAACGTACTGGAGGTTGAAATTCACGGTGCCTCGCTTGGCCACAAAGGCATCGAAAAGGTTTCCAACCCCAGGATTCAGGTCAATCAGAAAGAGGGCAGCGTTGCTCTCCACAGCAATCCCCTCCAACACGGCGTCCAAAATCTTGGTGCAAGCGCTGACTCCAATCTGAGGGCTGTGGGCAGCGCATCAAAAGAAAGGGGCAACAAGGCCTTGCTACAAACTACGAAGCAAAAAGTTTGGGGGCGCCACACCAACCACATTGGCTCTAATTCATACAAACCCGTGGCCTGTTGGTACTTCTGCGCTCCCTGCACCGTAGCGTTGTCATCATCGACCGTCGTAGGGAGAGCGTCAGCACGGACATCTTCAACCTGGCACATGTCCCGTGCATGTAGCATGTCCGCTTCACCGGTCCGGCCATTCTTGACCAGGGAAGTGCCAGACCAGACTTGCTTCTCCTTGGCCCCGGGGTGCAAGAGCAGCCTCCCTGGAAAAGTGCATGGGCGACCATCCCGCGCATCAGCCTGTCCAACAAAGAACCACGAGAACAATTTCAACCGTAAGTTCAGCAAAACTAAACAAATAAAATTGAAAGGGCATCAACCATCAACCTTATGTTGACCAAACTTCAAACAAAACCTGTCACCCTTTGTTTTGACCTTCCCACCTTCTTCTGAAAGCACAAATGCCAAGCAGAATCCACATTCAATCCAGACATCGCTAGGGCACGGAGAGTTGCTGTCTCAAGCATCCATAGTTGGCCCTTTTTGTAGGTGAAGATGGGCATGAGCACCGCCCCAAAGTGCTGCTCAGATGCCAAGATGCAGTGCGATGCAAATTGGGTTTGGGCCTGCTGACTTGAGCTTTTCAGCGTGGAAGGGGCCAGCCAGTTGATGAAGACAAAGTTAGCCTGCACAGGACCAGCTATGAACCAGGACACAACCACAAGACATGAACAAAGGGCAAAAGGTCAGCCTTGGGGAGCTTTAGAAGCACTAAAAAGATCAAAGGTGACATACCACTGAATTCAACAGCTTTCAATCAACCCATGTCAAGGAACACACCCATTGGCATCCAACCGCAACCGGTTGATCACAGACTGGCGATGCACATTGAACGCCCGAAGCATCTCATCTGACGTCTCTGCTGTGATGACCGTGCAAAAGTTCTCTAAGAACCACTTCGCAGCTGTGACACTGGTCTCATGGCGCTGCACTTTGTGTTGGAGCTTGACATGGTAGACACTCGACTCCCACGTTGCACGCTTGGCCATGGCAACCCGCAATGCCTGGACATCGTAGGGAAGCTGTCTCATCACAAGGTCAAATGAGTCACGCTCAAGCTGCTGCATTCCAACCACATCCTTCTTCGGAACTGGGCAAATTGCAGCGTGCTGGGTCATCAAGGAGTTGAGCGTAGCGATGTCTCGCACGTTCCCAGCTGAGCGTGCCAAAATCGCTGACTGGACCTCCACGGTCACAGTCTGGTCACCCTCAATGTATTTTTGGTGCCACGACTCATACAAAGCCGTGTCGCTGACAGGCATGATGGCAAGCACTTCTTCTGCCATGTGCACAACACAAGCGGCCTCCTCTGCGATGCGGTCCCACTGAACCCTCTGAAGCTTGGTCTTCATTCCTGCTGGCATCTTGCGGCTGTGACAAATCAATGTCTTCACCTGAGACTTCCCATTGAGTCCGAAACATTGGAGAATCATTGATGTTGCAAGTTGGACATGGGTCGCAAAACGTTGAAATGCCACTAGCGAACAGGTGACAATTCGGCGACAATGAAACTCATCAAAGTGACAAACAGCTCAACACTTTCATCCGTGACTTTGCCACGACTCTGCCAAACTGAATGGGTTCCAGAAGAGGCGGGTCCTCCCTGGGATCGGAACCTTGGGCTTACAGCCGTGAGCTGAGGAAACAAAGCCAACATGCCAAGAAACAAAATCATGGTTGGTAATTGGAACTGCAATTAATTGAATGCGGGATGAATTAAGTAGAGAAACGCGTAGCCTGGTAACCACTTTTTCGAGCCCAAGCAGTCATCCTGCCAAGGCGTTGCCTCATAGCCCACCTCTACGGTATAGTCAACGAGGAGCTTCTTGACAGGTTGCGGCAACGAGTGGAGAATATTTTTGACCGCTTGGGCCTTTGATCCCACCAGCTGCCCGGCCTTCGAGGAGCTCTGGTTATGATCTTTCACCTCATGCGCTGAACAGTATCCACCAAACAAGATCTGCCAGCACATTCAAATAAATTAGGTCAAGACTTGCAACTTCAAAAGTTGAGGTTTGCACGAATTGGGCCACATCCAAAGACGGGTCAAGCCCCTGCAGCTGCACAATGGAGGAGATCCAAGACCTCTGAGGTGAAAGAACAAGAAGGTTAAGCAAGTAGATTCAAGCTTCAATGATCTTCCATGTGACTGGCTCAATTGTAGAATAGCTGGGAGACGGAGCTGAAGAGCCGCTTTGCGGCAATGACTGCAAGCAAGCTGAATACATGCTGGTTTCTTTGTTCTCGGCAGGTGTTGTCCGTTTGGATTGCTAGATGATGAGGCAAAGGGACTTGCCGGTCCTTCAAGATTCCCAAGCAAATGTCGATGGTCCGGAGCACAACTGTGATGTTGCAATTGCTATCCTTTCTCTGATCTGCATCTGTGATGTAATAGCACTCGCAAATGCCATGAGCGATGCAACAAACCAAATGATTTGTTGGGCGCCACCGTGGCTCAAACTCTTTACTTGCGAACATCTCAGGGCAACGAGGGACACGAAATTTGGCCTTCAGGATGGGTTTGTCAAAAGCTGACCACTCTCAGCCACAACAAAAAAAAACTTCATGCTATGGACACCACATAGTAAAATTCCACACTTGAGTGGCAAACCTTTGGCCCCCACCCCCAATGGCTGGCCGAGAAGCTTGGTCCATGCCATCCAATGAAAGATATAAGATGCCGCATTCTGGACTGTATCCTTCACCCTGGCGACAACTGCTTTCTGAGATGAGCATCAAACGCCTGCCCGCCGCCCGATCGGCGAACACGCCCTGCTTGTGTTCATTGGCTGCAGCTGTAACATGCTCTTTCTGTGCTTCTGTGCGGGCATCTCGGCGCATCTTCGAAAAGCGAGTGCCTCAAAGAAATTTCAGGTTAAATTAGGTTTAGAGTTTAGATTCAAAATGTTAAACCTGCAAAAAAGCTGCTACCCAGCCAAAGAGCTGCTGATATTCAAAGTAGAAAAATTGTGTGGAACGTACAAAAAACATCAAAATCCTACGATGAAGTTCTTGAAAGCTACAGTCTTTACACTGTGTGTGTTGGGACGTCTTACGGATCCTGAGACATGATCGCCATTCCTGCACATACACTGTCCGAAGCAAAGTCCGACCACATGTGTCTTCTGGCCGGTACATGAACTCATAAAGGTCCAGGAGTTCAGCGAACTTCATGGGATGGAGCCACCTTGCAGCAAACAGGGGATGACCACCATCCAAAAGAAACATGTTGTTTTTTGCAATCAGTGCAAACTTGGCAACAAAACCAAACATGTCGGTGAAAATTTGCTTGATACAGCACAAGTGCTTCTGGGGCAAACCGCTTTGGAGCGAACCGGAAGCAGTAGACACAGGGTTTCCAGAAGTCTCTCCACGAACCCAATAAGAAAACTCATCCATGAGGAAATCCTCTTCTTCAGGCTCTGGGTCCGGGTCACCCTCAGCCAGAGGCTCAGCCAAATGGTCATACAAGAATTGAAAGAACGTCCTGGCATGGTCTCGCTTGGGATTGTCTCGCGCGAGTCTCTGCGCGCGGCCATCCTCAGGCGGTTCCAACTGTCCCTGCTTGATGGCCTGAAGAAACTTCTGGCATTTGCGTTTGCTGATCTTGGTGGCGACCAAGAGCGCTTGAAAACACATGTGCATGCCCAAGAATTGCCAGGCAGGACCGCGTTGACGACTTGTGCCATCCTATGGCGCAACTTGCCACACTGAACTCAATCAACCAAAAAATGGAACAGTGGGGAAAACGTTTTATGGTTGTAACTAGTCCCAACACCGACACCTACTAGATACCTCGGCGCCTATTTTTGAGCATACCACATCAGTCCTCATGCACCCGCATTTGCTTCAGCAGGTTGAAAATCAATCTGTCAGCTTCACGTTGGCTCAATTTCTCTATCTTGGCAAACCACTGTGCTTGCTTCTGCTGAGCTGTCGAACTTGCTCCAAAATGAACCAGGCATTGCTTGCGGCAGCACTCCAAATCGGGGCACCTGAGCGTGGAACTTGGTTTCATTGAATCACTTTGAGATGGGCTTGGGTTGCCTCGCAACATGTTATGTTACTTTTCTTTGTGACCAAGCCTTATGGCCCTATTGAGTTTGTTGAACCGGTTGCATGGTGGCAGTGGGTTGCCCCAACAAAAAGTACCAATCACAGGTTCAAATAACACATATGCAAAGGAACGTGGCTGGTTCCTCATCAACATCTGAAGGCAGCTCCACATCTGGGAGAATCTCCGCTTCGGGGTCTGATGGCAGCTCCGGGCTGTCATTACACATGTCCTGGGCCGGTGCTAAATTTTGGCGAATGAACGGAACATCATAAACGCTGCGGGTTTAGTGTGTTTACGCGCATGACTCTCCTGGCAGCCCACATGTTTGAGCCTTGAGGAAACCAAATGTCTTGGCTCCCTTCCAAACGTGAATCGATCCACATTGCTTCTTACCGCTGGCCTCAAGTTCTGTGGACCAACGCATTGAAGGCACTTCCACTCATTCACAAAATTCATCAAGCCTCTTGACTTCTTTTTGCAGAAAACAAATGAAAAATGAGTGCATCTGTTCCCCAGAACTCGACCGGGCGGCTGAGCGAAACACAATGAAGAAACTTCCGAGTTACGGTTTTTTTCCTATCAACTTTTCTTGGGCCACGCTGTGAAACTTGGTTGCACTGTGTCCTACCCCAGGTGTACTGTGTTATGATAGCAGGCATAATGCATCCCAACGCCAACTCAATGGCTAAGTTTCGTGACACTTTTCCCCCAAGGCTGCG